AGATAATGCAAGGGTGGGAAGAGGGAACAACAGGGAAGAAAAGAAGCTCTTAAAAACTAGGACAGAAAGAACTTGGCTGAACTCAAGCTACAACATGCACATTTCTGCCCCCCCTTAATGCTGCTTCTGACATCCACCTGTGCTGGCAGTAGGAAAAATATAAACTGCTCAGACTGGGAGGATCAGGGGACAGGTGAAATGGGGTATCTGAATCCCTGGGCTGGGAGAAACATAGTCCTCAAAGCTAATCACTTCCAAAGTGAATTTCCTCTGGACTTGATCTCCTTTCAGTACAAGGTTCCAAAAAAATACTTTATTCCAGTATAACTGGGTACAGTTATTACTCTTCTATAACTAAAATATTTATACCGGTATAAAACACTTCTGTGGATGTAGCTGTATCAGCGTGTGCATTCCTCATAGCAAGACAGCTTTCTTCCTCTGCTCATAATGGATTACCTAAAACCATCTTACAGTGGCTGTATATCCTTAAGACTATTGCCTGCAGTAGAAGGGAGCACAGTTTACTTCCAGCTGCAGGAGCACATGTCTCATGTTGGAAGTCCCTGCCTGTCCCGTTCCTTTCAGAGACACAAAACTCACTCTGACATACACCTCTTTAGAAATTACAGCACATTCGGGTTCATCAAATAGGGGCATCACACAAATTAATTAATGAGCATTTGTGCAGCACTGTGAAGATTTTAGGTGCTAAGTATTATTATTACTAATTCAATCTACATCCCCATTCAGTCCTCAGCCTCTCCTGTGAAACTGCCAGCAGTGATGCCAATTAGCAGTAATTGTGGTGGTGGTTTCCTGACAAGGCTATTTGCCAACGGGGAGTGAGACACAGACCACCAACTCATTTCCCGTAGACTGTCCCACAGGTATCAACAGCAAAAACTTCCAGGCACAACAACCTGCTCACCAATCCAGGCAGAACCCTGGCAGCAGGAGATCTTGTATCCCATCACAGCTGTCCCATTACAGCTCCCTAGGGACACAGCCTGAAAAGCACATACAGAACTTTTAATTAGGGATAAACCAAGGCACCTTTTCGGTTTAGGTTTGGTTTTGGTTTTTTTTCCTCCTACATTAGTTCAGTACATGACCCAACAACCGATGCCAATACTGCAATGCCAAAATGCTAATCTGTCATAATTTCAGTTTAAACTTTACTTGTTTCCATCCATGCTTGATGGAAATCACATTCTGATTCATACACAGGCCTCACTGTGGTGGCAAACTGTAAAGGCAGCAGCACTAAAACTAAGGGAACTGACAGAATAGGGTGCAGTAAATCTTGTACTTGGGAGAACTGTTAAAAGAGTTTTAATATAAGCACAGAGGTGTATCTCGTTATCATTTGCCACAGAGATTTGGAGGACTTTAAAGAGACGTAAACAACTAACAGTATTCTGTAATCAAAGCACATCATCTTAGCACCGAAACTTTCAATTATTTATATATATTTTAATACATCTAATTGAAAGGACATCACCACATAAACTGTATGAATCATAGCTCTCTCAAGCAATTAGATTTGTTATCCCTTCAGACTGCAAACAGTACATTGGCTTTTTATTCTAATGCGAATTCAATCCCTTGTCAGCTGCCCCACGCATGAGAATACACCTCCTCTCTTTCATCAGGAAAGATATCAACAGCAGGAAACTAGCCCTTCTTTCATCTCTGAGGCACCCACCCACCTTTCCAAAGGGTTTTCAACCAGGTGTGGAAATCTTTCTGAATCTGTGCTGAAAGATCCTTTAATTATTATGGCAAAGGAGGTAAATCCTTTGAGAGCAGCATGCTCCAAGCAGCAGCCTTCTGGTGTTTACTCATCCAGTAGTTGCTTAGTTTGACAGTGAGTTAGAAGAGCTTGTAAGAAATCCTTTAGAATCTATTGTATGGGCATGAAACTCTTACAAGAGAAGCTGCTTTTTCAGATGTCTTGTTATATAATTAAACAAGGGGGGGGGGGGGGGTGATAAAAAGCAGCAGCAGCAAGCTGCCTTTCTGGCACAAACCTTACACAGCACTCAACCTGCCAGCATATTGCATCAGATTCCCACTGCAAGGCCAATTCACAGCAGCTGAGTAGCCGAACCCCTGACTGTTATCTCCAGCTAACCTACTTCACACTCAGAAGGCAGTAAGTAGAACTGTTTATTGCATCTTCCTTCCTGAGGAGCTGCTCACTACACCAGGATTAGTGGGGGTTTGAGCTTGCAATTAGGCTTGAGGTCTTACAAGCTTTAGAAACTGTATTTTTAAACAAATTTGAAACATCTAACACTACTGTATGCTACTCAGCAAGTAAGCTCCAGGTATCTGTTACTCTGCAATCAGGTCTGTCGAGGTTCGAGCACTGTGATGACTAATATTCTATTACGTTCCTAGTCATACTTTGAAACCCCGCAGAAAAGGGGATTAATTTACCCATCATCAAGTATTTATCAAGGAAGTCCCTCGAGATTTGCAGGAAGGAGACCACACAAACAGGCCTTTGCTCACAGGTCTCCTTACCTGAACACCTGGCCAAGGCCCCCTGACTCTCCTGCCCTGGCAGCTTTTTTTTTTCCCATGACAGAGATTCACTCCCAAATAGGACACTGTTCTTTACAGCAGAGGCCCACCCCAACATCAGCAACAGGGATTCTTGTGCTCCTCACTGCAACAGCCTATCACAAGCACTTTACAAGAGGAAATTAAACTTCTCACCACTCAACAGCAATCCAGAAAACAAAAGGTCCAACAGTCCTGAATTCAATAAAATAAGATACGGGACCTTCTGCACCACAGAAATAAGTAAGAACCTACTCCAAAACCAGCAAGTCAACAGAGACTCCTGTTGATTTGTTCAAAGGGCTTTGGATCCAGCCTGAAAATGCAAACCTCACTATGCATTCAGACACTGCTCCACAATGCACTTCCAAACAAAACTATATTTAGATTCAATGGGAATTCTGTAGATCATACAGGAACTCTTTGAATGAAAATGAAGGTCAGTAGGGTTTGGCTTCCTCTACAGACCCTACCCCCCCCCCCCCCATTGTTGCAAACATCCAGATAAGCATTGTTTAGAAAACAATACCTTACTTCCAAGTGTTATCAAAACCCTAACACACGTTTTGTGTGCCCTGAAACAGAATCTGAGTCCTCGCTGCATTTTGCCCTGTCAGCTAATCTTGTCTCCTCAGGTGTCTAGGCATGACTCCGTATCAAGACTTTTTTCACTTGTACCAGCTTTGAAGTTTTGTTTCATGTGCCCTGACTAAAGGAAAAGGGGCAAGAATAACAGAGTCCTCTGATACACAGAAAACAAACAAGGAAAGGAAGAACTGAGCAGCCTAGAACACACACAAATAAAGCTGCACACATGTTAAAGAAAACCTCTAGCATCCCCAAACCTCTAGCACTTTCTCCATTCATCACCAGACACGAACGGCCATCGTGAAGCACAAACTGGAAGAAAAATGACACAGCTCCGGCTTGCGCGAGTAACACTAAAGGCAAGAATGAGCCCACCAGCCAGAGAGGTACATTCAAACACCCAGGCTGCGTAAGAGCAGCAAAACCATACCACTCAAAGTTTCCTCCAGTGCCACAAAGACCAGTGGGAAACTTTCAGCTTCATTTTGTGAGCTCCTCAGAAGGAGGAGCAGAATTGCTCCGAACAGCAGCTTCTCTTAGGAAGGATGAAACCAAAGCCCAGCCGCAACACCGAGCTGGCATCCCCGAAAGCGTGTTACCACGGCTGGGAGGCAGAGACGGTTCCCCCGGGGCGGCTCTGGGCACCCTCACGGCACTCGCCTGCGCCCCGTTCCCTTCGCCCAAGTCGCTACTATTCTTGGGCTTTTAACTGTTTCTGGCTGTAGCAGACAGCGAGCGCTCAGCCGCACGGGTTCACTTTACCAGAAATCTTTGAACTTTTGAAGAACCCTCATGGGTTGGAAATCACCGGCTTTGCCATCACGCTGTCCTCCCAGACCCGCGGGGGTACACACCTGATCCCACCGGGGCTGGGGACCAGGCCCCCGTGTCCCCCATCACCACCTCCCGCGAGCGTCCAGCGGTGCTCGGACGGCCCAGGCGCACTTACCGGTGGGGCGTTGGGCGGGCAGCCGCCGGCGGCCAACCGCGCCGCCTGCCTCCTCAGCTCGGCTAGCTGGGCCTGGCAGCTCCGGCACCAGATCCCGGCCGCCGCTCGCTCCAGCGGCCGCGGCTCTACCCCCGCGGCGGCCCCAGCTCCCTCGGGCGCCGGGCGGCTGGCGCAGCGCTCCTCCTCGGCGGCGGCCGGCGGCCTCTTCCGCGGGGAAAGCTCTCGGACTGTGCTCCCCTCCGCTACCTGCGGAGAGAACAGAGCTCAGCGCCGCGGATCGCGGAGGCAACGCGGCTCCCAATCTCCTCGCGGGGGAAAAGAAGGGGGGGGGGGGGGGGGGGAATGAAAAAGGAAAGGAAAAAAAAAGGAGGCCTAAAGTAGGGAAGGGGAGTGCTGTAACAACTTACCCCCGGCGCCCGGGGCTCAGGGCCCAGACCCTTCCTGCCAGCAGCCGTGATCATGGTAGCGGGGGATGCGCCCCTGCCCCGCTCCGCTAGAGCGGGCGGTGGAGTGCCCAGAGGAGCGAGCGGCCCGCAGCACCCATGGTCGGACGGCGGGCGGAGGTGCCAACAGTGAGTTCGCTGGTTCCCCGCAGTCCAGACTGCGGCTCTAGGTGATGTTGCCTCCCATGTTGAGGAGGGAGAGAAGTTTGGGTTGGCAGAGGGAGGCGGAGTGAGCTCCCCACGGCGGCACGGGGAAGGACGCGGAGCACGTCGGCAAAAAAAGCTGGAAAAGTGTAGGGCAGGGAGGAGGGGCTGGGCGGGGGCGGCGGGGTGGGGTGGGGTGAGCGGGGGTGGGGGGCTCGGCAAAGACAGGCTGGGGCTTAGGTTTGGGGTTGCGGGGCGGGGAAGTGCCGTTTCATAGTGACCCTGACAGTCCCAAGCCGGTGTGACTAAAGCGCGGACACTACTGCAGTTTCTCCTTCAAGCTCCAGCACCCAAGTTCCCGGAGAGTGAGGAATAAAAGGGCCGAGCTGCGGGTACCGGTCCCACTGCGGAGCGTTGCGGGGCGGAAAAGCCGCGCAAGCATCGGCCCTTTGCGCGGGCCCGGTGGGCGTAGAGCGGTTGCAAATGGGGTCCAGAGGACGGGCGGGGTCCGCTCCCGCGGCCGACGCTCTCCGGCGTAGAGCTGGGGGCACCGTACGCCCCTTCGCGGGCAGATGCGCGGTGCCTCGGGGCTCAGCCACCCCGGGGGCCGGCCGACTCCCCAGCCGCTCGGTGGGCGTGATGGGATGTTCCTACATGCGAAAATTGACCTGACAGATGAAAATTAACGCTCGCAGCTAATTGTCTACTTGGCTGCCGCTGCGGCTCTTACATTTAGCACTTCTTTTTCCTGGTTGTGTCACCAGAGAGAGGAACATGAGCCACTGTGTCCCAGTGCCCCCTCACTGCCCTGTCCCGCTGCCTCTGCCTGGTGGCTGTGGGCAGGGGCCGAGCCGAGACTTGCCCGGGCACCGCAGGCCGGTACCACCGCCCCGTGCCTGTGACCAGAGCACCACCTGCCGGCGCCGCCGTGCGGCTGCACACGGGAGCTCCCTGTCCCACCCAGGACGGACCCGGAGCCGGACCCGGCACCTCGCGTGGGAGCCGCGGCGGGAGATGGCTGCGGCGGGGGCTTCCCCCAGCGATGCCAGTCACGGCTCCTGGTCTCCTTGCCCGCCACCGCGAGGGTAGGTGCTGGTGGCTCTCGAACACGGGGTGGGGTCTGCGAGGATGTGAGAAGCGCCGAGCACAAAGAGTGGGGAAAACATGTGGAGGGGAATAAATTCCCCCCTCCTCCAAGAGGCACCTTCCCCAGCAGCTCCAGCTCCCCTGGCTCTCCCGAGAACGTGTCCAAGGCGCCCCCTTACCCCAGAATGGGTGGATGCCCCAAGGAGAGCCGGAGCCATGCGCTCCCCGGCACTGGCCTGAGGGGGCTCGCACCGGCGGCAGAACCCCAGACGCTGTGGCAGCTGCCCCGCCCGCCCGGGCTTCCCGCACAGAGACCGACAAAAGTTTTGGCTGGGAGGTGAAGAGGACGGACGGGGGAGAGCAGGCTGTCAGCCGGAGGCTGCCCCGTGCCCCTCTCCGGGACCAGCGGGGACTGGGACTGGCACAGACACCGGCAGCGGACGTCGCGGACGGCTCCCTTCTCCCTCCCGCTTGGGACTCTTCATGTGTCCGAATAACAGCAGCACAACGCTCCAGCGTCCCCTGGTCAGGCTGGATGGGGCGGGGGGCAAGGGGCTGTGCTCTTCAGCCAGCACTGGGGCTAAGCAGCGCTGTGCGCCTGAACCTCCTCGTTTTCCCTCTTGGAAACAGCGAGACACGGTGCTCCCACGCCCCGCTCGAGGCCAGAGACACGCAGGCCGCCGCCGTGCGCGGAGGAGCCCCAGGAGCGGGCCTGCAGCGCGGTCCCCCCGCGCCGCCCTCTCGGGGGAGCCGCCAGGACTGTTCGTGGTGCTGAAACCCGCCCCGGCACTGCCGCCGTCAACTTCGCACCGCCAAGTTGGCCACCCCCTTCCCGTGAACCGGCTCGGGGCAGGGCAGGCAGCGGGGCCCCCCGGCGCCCTCCCGATCCCCAGCCCCCTCCTGATTCCCAGTCCCCCGGGGCTGGGCAAGGTCCCGTTACCTTGGCTTTCCGCCGCAGGAGGTGGCTGGTGAAGCCGAAGATGATCTCCGAGTCCAAGCATAAGGCTCCTATCTCCAGGAGGCTGGGGTTTTTCCTCGTGGCGTTGGAGGCATCGGGCGATTTTTGAAAAGCCATAGTTTGGGGTTAGAAATATCCGGCTCCCTGAGCGGAGGCGATGTATTTGTATAAACAAGCGGGGGGGAGGGGGGAGAAGAAAAAAGGGAAAAAAAAAGAAAAGAAAAAAAAAGAATAAAATAGCAAACACCTCCCACCTCTTAAAAAAAGAAGAAGGAAAAACAAGAAAAGAAGCCAGACGCGGGTGACTTACTCCGTCACCCGCCGGGATGCGCGCTGCGGGGTGAGGTAGCCAGCAGCCGGGCAGACCCACCAGCCTCCCGCCTTTCTCCGCCTCTCCCCGCTGCTATCCCTCCCGTTTTACCCCCCCTCTAGCGCACCTTGCCTGACGAGCGGGCGCGGTGCGGGCCCCGCTCAGCGCCCACCCGGCGCCGAGGCCGGGGCCGCCGGTGCGCTGAGTGAGCGGGGCCGGCAGCGCCCTACTCCCCCGCCGCCGGCCATCAGCTCGCCAAGCGAGGGGGCTCCCACCACCCGCTGGCCAGGAGCCCGCCCTGCGAGCCTCCTGCCTCCCCTCATCCACTGCTGGGTGGGTTTAGTGGCTGGGTTGGTGGGTTGTTTTTTTTCCCTCCTCCTTCTCCTCCTCCTCCTCCTCCGGGGTGAGCACAAGGAGGGAAAAGCTGCCAGTGAAGTCAGTTTAAGGGGGTAAAAAGACACGCACAAGGAGAATAAGGGTGGAGGGGGGAAGGAAACAAAAAGATAGGAAAGAAACAAGAGAAAAAGGAAAAAACCAAAAACCACAAAGCTTGACGGAGCAGAAGTGAAGCACTTTCCGGAAGGGATCCGGCCTTTCACTCCACTGAAAATCTTCCCCCTCTTTTTCCCCTCTGCTTGATTTTATTTGCGGTGGGTGAGGGCTGCGGGGAAGGAGCGAGTTCTTCCTCTCCGACGAGGGCCTCAGGGAGAGGCAGCCCCCCCCCCCCCCCGCGCTGCGTGTCCTCACGCGTGTCCCAGCCTCGGCTCTGGGCCGTCCGTCGAGGCGCGGCCCGTCCCGTAGGGGCGGGCGGCATGAATCGGGCTCCCCGGGGACTCTGGGCAGAGAGCTAACCCCCTCCCGGGCACTTTCCCACTGAACAAATACTTCGCACCCCCGGACAAAAGCGTTGTCTCGCTTGGCAACGCCCGCCGTGGAAGGGTGTTGAACAATAGGTTTAGCTGGGCTCCACGGGGCAGAGCGACCGCCCGCGGGCTCTGCACCCGTCGCCCCGGCCAGCACCGGGAGCTGCTGTGGCGGGGTGGATACGGAGAGCGACGCCGCCGGCGGTCCCGCTCTTCCCTCTGCAACCGCGCCCCGGGCTGGGCCGAGGTCCTGCCCCGCTGGCCGGCCGCGACCGGCACGTCGGGTGAAGCTGAGGGGCGGGGGAGGGAGGGAGGGAGTGAGGGGGAAGGGGTAGGGGAAGAGGAATAGAAAAGGGAAGAGAAGGGGGAAGGGGAAAAGGAAGAGGAAGGGGAGGTCTTAAGTCTCTGTGCCCACAAAAGGCCACCATAACTTTATTCTGAATTTACCAGGTCACCTGGGCTTCCAGCTAATGATGAGCCTATGTGTTAGAGGACAGAGGTGCATTAAGAAGTGGCTCTGTATGATGGTGGTGGAATACAGGTGTCACAGGCAGGGCACAGGAGGGTTGCTGGAGGGAGGAAAGAAGGATGGGAATGGTGAGATACACCAAAGGTGTAAGGATTTGTTTGACTCCTTACTGCATCCCTTACTGATGTAGGCATCTCAGTCCAGAGATGTACCAATATGTGAGCTGGTTCCTGAACCTACCTGGGAGTGGAGGATGCAAGGACCCAGCCCCTGTGCCACCTTGCACAGACTCATCCTGTCCCAGACTTATCCTGTCACTCATCCAAGGCCCATCCCAGCATCCTGTCTCGCTGTGCACCACTATGCATACAAAGTCTTCCAGCACCCTCCCCTGCACAAGTAGGACATTGCCCTTTTCCAGAAGATCCCTGTGCTTGGAAGGTGCCACTTTACTAAGAGAGTGGGAAGAAGAGGGTGGAGGGCAGAAGGAAAAGCAATTCAAGCAAAATGGTGGTGTGGACTTCAGCTGTCCAGGTAAAGTGTCCCACACAGGCTCTCAGCCCACATGCTTAGCATGAGGTAGAACAGTGCCCGTCACCAGAACCCAAAGCATGAAATGTCATTTCCCATGCACTGGGCAAAGAGGCTTGGAAACATCCAAGGGCAGAGACAAACATGGACAGGCCAGGGAAGCTTGTTTCCCAGTTTGGAGGAGGCCGGAGGACTCTGCCCCATCTCCCATATCTTCAGCCCAAACCACGTTTAAGCACTCACACCACGCTGGTCTGGCCCCAAGGAGAGCCTGGCTCATCCCAGCCCCCCAGGCCACCTCTAGGCTACCACATCTCCCTTCCCCACCACAGTTTGCCCCTTCCCTGGCTCTTGGCAAAGACCTTGGGAAGGTCTGGGTCTAAAATATCCCTGAATGTCAGGCACAGAGCAAAAGGTCCCTGTGCAACCCCAACCTCACCAATAATCCTGTAGAGTCTCTCTTCAGTCACCCAATTAAAGCAAATATCTCCCTACCCCACTGCTCTCAGGTGTCTTGCCGATAAACGAGCTGAAGGGAAAGTTATTACCTTGTATCATGGTGTCTAAACTAAAGTAAGACATCAACAGAGGGACTGTACATAATCATGGACTAGATAAAGTCCATTTTTCTTGGGCCCTCAGAAACTGATCCCCAAGCATTAAAACGGGTGTCTTAATAAATATCTTATCTCCCCGCCACAGAGCCCTGGCTGCAGATAACCAGACAGCCATTACTATACCTCTGAAATAACCCCATTTCCATCAGGGCCACTTCAAACAGGCTCCTCTTTAAAGACGCCCTGCTACTCGCCGAGAGGAGCTGGGGAAGGCTTGAACCTCCCTGGGTGGGGGAGCGAGCAAGGGACAGGGGATTTAATCCAAGTCCCCAAGCAGGGGAGGAGGGTTGCTGCATTGCAATGCATTCTGTTCCACAAATGCAGTCTGTGCAATGCACTCTGTAACCACAGAGCAAGACATTCTTGCTGTGAGCCAAAGCCTACATCCATCCCCACCATGCTCTGCATTGGAGTGAACGGTGCTGGGCTCTCACAGTTCTGCTTCCCTGGGCCTGCTCTGCAAAGCAGAGAGAAAGTTGAGCAAGAAAGCAGTGACACAGCAGGCAGCTTCCATTTCCTTGGAGGAAAAGGCCTTTCAGTGTGTGCCTCCCAGGCTGCAAGGTGATGTCATACAGGTTGCAGTGGACTCCTTTATTAATGCACTATACAGGTGATAGTGGATTTATTAGATATATTGCTGTGATTTCACATTTAATTTACTAAGAATACAATGGTTTGGGCTAGAGGACCCAAGGGAAATCTAGGCAACAGTGAGCAAAAATCCATGAAATTCAATGTAGCACACTAATCATGGAGGCATTATAGTATTAATTGCTATAATGATACACTTCTAATCCTATCTTACACTCCACCACATAATTTCATTGGGTAAGAGAGGAAAAGAATTAAATTTAGTTCAATACAGGCAAGCGTATAACTTAATAGTTTGAATCCTGCACACTCACAGGTTTAGGGCTAATGTCACGCAATGCGCTCCACATGGGGGAAGGAGGATGCCACAAGACTTTTGACACCCTTGCAGAAATCTGGAAGCAATATGGAAAACTCTTAGATTTTTGCTTTTCAAGAGGCAACTCAGACACATAAAGGATAATTAGAATTCGTTGTAAAGATGATTTATCATGTCTATCATTGTGCTTGAAAAGGCTAGGTCACCCATGAATGCTGATGAAATTTCAAAGATCTGCTCCCCAAGGACTTCCTGCATCTGCTGCCCTCTGAGATGGGGAAATAGCCCGGGGCAAGCTTCTCATTAATACTGCAGGGAAATATAAGCATTTTGTCCGACATAACATTTTCCTTCGGTATTATACCTGACACGATCAGACCTTTAACGTGGTAATAGGGCTCACTTTAAAGTTCGTGTACTTGCTATCGTGCCCCCCCCCCCCAGTTTCAACTGGGTAGCAGCTCTCTCTTTAACAGGCAGTGGTTTGACCCGAAGCACACTTTCTCCCCTAACAAATATTGTATGAGGTGGGCGGAGGTGGTAAAAGCAGCTTTTGATCTTGTTTGTATAATATGAAAAAGGACATCAAAGCGAGGGAAGAGGGGGAGGGAGAGAAAGGAAAGCAGAGCAGGAGTAGCCCTAGTCACTGGAACACCGAATCGCTCATGAACTGCTAAATAAAACGTAATTAGGAAAACACCATAAATTAGTGGTTCTTTAAAGAGCTAGATGGTGGAGTGGGCTGGGAGCGCGGCCAGGGCTGGCGGGCACGTCCCGTTTCGAAGCCAGCCCCGAGGACAACCCAAGCAGAGCCCGAACCTCGGAGGGGGGACGGGAAAGCCCTGGGGCCGACCCCGCGGAGCCCCCCTACCCCGCCGTCCGGGAGGCGGCTCCCGCCGGCCTCATTCCGCTCAGGGAGCCCCGGGGGATGCGGGGCAGCGGCTGTGGGGAGCAGGCGGGGGGAGTCCTGGGGTGTCCGGAGCCGCCCCCCGGGGGAGTGAAGAGAAGCCGGTTTTCCCGCGGGGCGCTGCAGGTTTCGGGGCGTTCCCGGGTGCTCCTCACCGAGGCGAGGGGGAGGGACGGCGCGGAGGGGGACTGGGAGTGGCGGGGGCGCCTGTTTGTTTGGGGTTGGGTTGTTTGTCTGTTTGCCATGTGGCCTCTCCTTTATCTTGATCGGGGGTGGTTGCCGGCACTGGGTTTAATTGATTTGCGGGGCGGGCAGTTGAGACCATCAAGGGAAACTTCAGCCCTTCCAGACGGTGCAGAAAATAACGATCGTATCGGTGAAACCAGTGCGAAGAGCAAACACTGCCTCTCCCCCCGTGCATGTTCACAGGCGGATGGGGATGGGGCCACCCCAGAGATCCGGGGGTGCCCAGGTGAAGCTGCAGGGCCGGGCCGGCTGCCTGGGACACAGTCGGGACCCGGAGGGGCCCCAGAGGAGCCCCCCACCCTCACCCAGTTGCCCACTGCAGCCTAAGGGCTGCAAGGGGGAAGAAGCTGGCGGGATGCACCTGCACCAGAACGGCTGAGGGGGAAGGACACATAGAAAAGAGTGGCCAAATTCACACCCACACACCTCACCCCCTAAAGGAAGATTTTCTCTCTGTCCCCGAGGTGAGCTAGGCTGGCCAACCCAGTCCTGCCTCCAGGCAGCTCTCCTTCCAGCTCTGTGCCCGGATGCCTCCTTCCCACAACACTGGGGCTCTCACATTACTGGTGCTTCCTTGCCACCCCTGTGGTCCTGGGGGTTCCAGCCCAGCCTGCAGGACTCCTTTTCAGTTCCCATCACAGTAACAGCACTACCTGTAATACAAAGACCATGTCCCACCTGTGCTTGGGGCAACTGAGGTGGCTCTCAGTCTGGAGCAAAGCAGGGGCTTAAGCACTCCCCAGGTCATGACCTGCCTTGTAGGGGAGGGCTGGATGCAAGGACTCTCCTGTTACTGCCTGGCCTTGGCAGCCTAGAGCTGATCTCGGGCCTGTTCTGGCTTGGTC